GTTCGAAAGGAAGTTAAATATTGTTGAACTAAAAGTTCATCGAAAGAAAATTAAAAAAAGAAATGATTGGAACTTCAAAAAAAGGTATTGGCCAAGTAATATATCCCGTAATAATAACATAGAAATAGTAACAATTATCATATGAAAGCATAATTATTTTTAGTTTGCCGTAATTTCTTAGTTAACTCTGAAAGTATCTTTTCGTTCACACATACTAATGAAACAAAACATTTCTCTTTTAATTATCGTCTTGAAAATGGCTCGGGCACGTTTATCTTTTAGAAATTTTGTTATCTTCTCTTATGAAATAGAAAAAAATTAAGACATTCATCGACGAAATATCGTATTTAGTCCTTAAAAATTCATCATTCCCTCCTTGGAACGACGATTCCAGGTGCCGGAGACTGGTTGGAATGAAACCGATTCCAATTCCAGCCAAGAAACTCTTTCCAAGGTGTTCGTGGTGGGGAAAAATAATTCCCGTTGGAACGTGACGTCATTCCCAGATGGAATTTCATTCCATGGAGCTCATGGTAGGGTTCCAGGTTGAAACAGTCCTCCATTTGGATAGAAATCTAAGTGACCACTAGGATAATAGTAACCAAGACCTATGTATTGAGAAAGATTTTCATCAATGTACCAGATTTTCGCACCATGGCGTTTTATATATAAAAGTAAGTATCAAATCCAAAAACAACTTCGAAGTAAGATACTTTTTCTATTTTATTATCATCGTTATTACAAAGATAGAGACCCACGAGTATATTCTCTATTCAACCGATATATTGCTGCCTATGCAGAGACCCACGAGTATATTCTCTATACAACCAATATATTGCTGCCTGTGTAGAGACCCACGATGTATATTCTCTATACAACCAATATATTGCTGCCCATGTAGAGATCCACGAGTATATTCTCTATTCAACCGATATATTGCTGCCCATGTAGAGACCCACGAGTATATTCTCTATTCAACCAATATATTGCTGCCTATGTAGAGACCCACGAGTATATTCTCTATTCAACCAATATATTGTTGCCTATGCAGAGACCCACGAGTATATTCTCTATTCAACCAATATATTGCTACCTATGTAGCTATGCGTTTCATAAAATCTCTTATATACTTTCTTAAACAGTTAAGATTTAGGACTGAATTTTACTTGCAATGAAAATACAACGTATATCGGATTTAGATCTGGAGATCTGGCTGGTTAGTGAATATTTTCAGAAATCAGAAAATCCTTGGCATGATGAGGTTTATAGGGCTATGTGCTGTAGCTTATTAAAATGAAATCAAGATCAACTGAATCATTCATAAACCTAACGCATTGCTCCAATGATTTCAGTCAACATTAAAATCAAAATATTGTATCCTATTTAAATTAAGTTGAATCATGATATCGATGTTGAATCGACGGATTTGAACCTGTGTCAAAATGTATTTAGCTTTGTACCGAATGCTAAGATTGGAAATTAGTACAGTTGATTAGTACTAATAACGTATAATAGAACTGATTCATTGGAAGAGTTGTATATAAATAAAATAATAACCCTTTGGTGTTTCAAATAACGATAATAAATAATTCGAATATGAAGTCAAATGTTTTATTTAAATAGAGAATAGGATCTGCTATACGAATCACTAATTCAATGAGTTAATCGAATCATAATTTGAAACGAACGATATAAACTAACCGAGTAAAATAAATTATTCGAATTGAATTACCAAAATCCATAAATACGAATGCGCATCTCAAAAACGAATCACTTTGATTACTTCAAATGGAGAAAGGAATGTCCTATTCGAGTCACTAATTCAATAAGTTAATCAAATCATAATTTGAATCGAACGATTTAAATTAACCGAGTGAGATAGATTATTTAAACTGAATTACCAAAATCCATAAATACGAATGCGCATCTCAAAAACGAATCACTTTGATGATTTCCTATAGAGAATGGAATGTCCTATTCGAATTACTAATTCAATAAGTTAATCAAATCATAATTTGAATCGAACGATTTAAATTAACCGAGTGAGATAAATTATTTGAATTGAATTACCAAATTCCATAAATACGAATGCGCGTCTCAAAAACGAATCAGAAAATCACTTCGATAATTTGAGTCGCCTATTTAGTACTTAATTCTAATTCACAGTTCTTGAAAGACATTTCAATTTTTTTTTTCTTTTACTCTTCGTACCTTTTGGAAATGGTGAGTCGTCAGCTGTGTGTATGACATCCACAAAATAGGCATCGCTTCGATCTAGTTTTAAATCTTCGGGAAAGGAATAAAATACATCACCAGCTGCATCTAAAGCTGAAATGAAGTAATGAAACATTTAGATATTTCTATTTTTTTTTTAATAAACATTACCGATTGAGGTGCCTTAACCCTTTGCTTACGGCACTCAGCACAGGGAAGTCCGTCATTCTGGTCTAGCCGTAAGCAAAAAGCTAATTCAAAATCAGCTCAGTTTCAAAAATTTTAAAGAAAAGAGCGATTAAGAATATCAGAATTCTTTCCCAAATTTTTATCTAATATTTTTGCAAACTGTACGAAAGCATTTTTAACATTCTTTTTTAATTCAAAAGCATTTTTACTAACAGGGCAAAAGTTGATTTAATATATTTTTAAAATTTTTATCAGGTATTTGTGCGGTATTAGTGAATTTTTTTCCTCCTTTTCTTGTGATAAAAGACATTTTAACAACTATGACAATAATAAAATATTGAAAAAAGGTATTTTTAAAAGATTTGGATTGAAATTTTTATGTCCTGAAAAGAAATAAGCTTAGTTTTTTGTAATTTCTCTTTTAATATTATTATTAAATTTTCCTTGAAAAGAATAAGGGAAAAGCGCTATTTCGATTTTTTAAAATTATTTTTACAAATATAACCATTAATTTATTCCCCAGAAAGAACAATTTAGAATTTTTTTCTTTATTTTACAATCGTTTAATTTTTATCAATGAGAGAAGAAAAAGAGGAAAACTTAACATTTATAAGCCACACTGAATTTTCCCTTTTAATAGCATAATTTTAACATCTTGTTTTCGAATTCTAAAATTATTTTTGATTTATATTTTTTGGGATTCCTTGAACAGGAAGGGCAATGCCTTCAGTGTCCATGCCTAGGTGTTCACCAGATAGGCTGGAATCAGAAAATAAAGCTTTCGTATTTTTAAGATTATAAATAAATTAAAGCTGTATACAGGGTAGTAAAAAATACAAGTCAAAAATGTAAAGGAAGATAGAAAGGACCTAAATAAGCATATTTTATACGGGACTGTGTGTGTAAATACCGTGTTAAGCCGATAGAGAACGCTGTTGCACACTAATGTACTAAAACTATCCAAGCGCCGCTGAGAATCTTGAATCCCTGCTGATCATCGCTCTTTTGAGTAGCTATTGTAAAATGTAATTGATTGTATTTTGATTGTAAACTGTTTGATTCTGTATAAGAATGTATATGCGAAAATGCAGGCAAAAGTGCTGACACGTAGAGCAACACTAATCATAAGTAAAACTTAGTAAGTTAGACAAAAGAAAACAAGAATTTAAGAACTGCTTACAATAGGAACAATCAGTCACTTAACAATCAATTATAGTTTATACAATCAATTATAACTGCTCGAATGTAATCATTAACATAGCATGCAAATAACTTTAGTAAACAACAGCGCTCCCTATCAGCTTAACATGACGATTCCGCACGCACATTCCTGTATAAAATATGCTTATTTTAGGTCTCCTCTAACTGCCTTTACATTTTTGTACCATCCTGTATATTTTAATAAATATTGAAAAGGGATTCCTTTTTGAATATTCTTATTTCGGGACCATGAGAAAATGTTCCTGACATTCTTTTTAAGAACAAAAATTATTGTAATTTTTAAAAGCAAAGTGTAATAAGTTCACGTAACAAAACCTGGTATACCTGTAATTCTTCCTATCCCAGGCAGCTTGTGTCCAGTATTGCCAGCAATTTGTCCACCTAAGCTTATGCCAATTATATGCATTTGCTGAAAACTTACACCAGCTTCATCCTAAAATAAAATAAAAATTATTGAGCTTAAAATAGCGGCAGGATACTGAATTACTTCTTTAGTCAGGTGTTCAGTGCTTGCAAAAAAGTGTGAATATTTCTCGATGTTTCTAATTATGTAATATTTCAAATATTTTTTTAATGAAAATACTTCATAATTAACTAAACATTTCCTGTACACATTGTTGAAAATTGGGGATCAAATTATGCTAAAAAGTACCGGTACTTTTTATCATAAAATACATTTTTACCATAAAATTTTACGAAACAAAAATGTGATTTACCGTAATTTTTACAATATTTACGATATAAAATCTAAACATATAACTGAATCTATAAATATACTTGAAGAATACGGTATAACAGTATAACTGAATCACGGTAATTTCAAAAATATTACTGCGAAAATAACGGTATGAAATTGTACGGTTAAAAGGGATTTTCTGGATGCTGCACTCAGATTGTCAGTACTTTTTGTACTTTTTATCATAATTTAATAAGAATTTTTTTACAGTGCAATCAGTTACATCATGAGACCCGAGCTTTTTAATAATGGTAGAAAGTCCGATGTATACAAAATTTTACATCATTTTTAAAAAATGTAATTTTGCATGACAAAATACACAATTTCAACAAATTCGGTCAAATAGTTCCCAAGAAATTGTATTTTTTTTAACTATAATTTAAAATTTGATTTCCATTGGATTGGATCTAATGGATAAATTGCGTCCATCTTCCTTATAAATTTACATTCTTTAAAATGATATAAAATTTGTATACCATACAAGTAAAAAATTTTACACTTATATTGAATAGGATATTAAAAATTAATAAATGATTATTAAAATTTTAATTCCCTAAGGAAGTTTTTGATATATAACGAAATACGCAAAAAGTAAAATTAGCATTAGATACATTTTATTATTTGAACCGTGAACCTGACCAAACTATTGGAACCGTATTTCCCAGATTGCTGCTATATTTAGAGGCAGAAATTCGAATGTATCTTTAAAAAAAGGTAGACTTATTCAGAAAAAGTACGTTTTTTTACCTGATTTCGTTACTGGAAATACCGTCTACCCTAATTAATTAGCATATTTGAGGTAACCCTCTCGACCAATTAAGATTGATTTTTAATACGTGAAAATCCAATCATTAGATCAAAAGTTAGTCAGTGTGTTTTGTTTATTTCATTATTGTCCACTTATTTATTTATTTATTTTTGCACATAGTACAAATTTTTGTGTTTAATAATTCATAACTTCACAATACATAAAGATATTATTATTATTAGTAGTAATAATAGTAGTAGTAGTAGTAAAAGTAGTAGTAGTAGTAAAAGTAGTAGTATTTGCAAGAAAACTTTTTTTATAGTGAACGAGATGGCTAAAAACCTATCAATTCGCTAAATTAATTCCTAAGATTTAGTAAAAATAAAAAATGTGGATATGACATAAATAGGATCAGATTTTCAATAATTCTTCTTACTAAATCATGTGAGCTTTATTTTTCTGTTTGCTGAAATTTTTGGAAATCTGGGATAAACAGATATGTTTATTAAAAGAATGTTCTTTTTTATGATTTAGTTACGTATTAGTACTCACGTTACTCATTAGTACTTAAGTACTATTAGTTACTTATTAGTACTTACTTGCATATCTTAAATATACGCTTCGGATTGTCAATATAAAGTAACTGAGCACGTGATCCGATCATTAAATGATAGTCTTATCACAAAGTGACATGAAATCTGATGATCATGATCCAAAGAAATTGAAAATATTCGTTGAAATCTGATGATCATGATCCAAAGAAATTGAATATATTCGTTATTTATATATTTTTTTTTACATTTGCTTGTTTATTTGTATATGATTCATCGAGAAAATTTTCATTGAGGATATTATATTTGTATTTGTAATGATTACGATTTTGCCTGCATTGTATTAAATTACACTTTTAATTTTTTTGCATGATTCTTATAAAAAGCAATAAAAAAAATATTGCAAAATTTCGATAATTTAACTCAACTGAATTTAATTTATTTTATAATAAGATATTTATCACAAAACAAATAATTTAATCAAAGAGCTGGAGCCATATTTAGAGAACCGCACTTTTTCTAAAGGAAATATTTTTCTTTTACATCAAACTGTTCCTTAGTATTGCTTCCAAATAGGTGTTTAAAAATGAATAAATAAATTAAAAATAATAATAAGTAAAAAAAAATTTTTTTTTTTTTTTAAAAATCTAAACCGCTATTCTGCACACTTTGACAAAGTATATTATCATTATATTGTCCCAAATGCGGATATATTTTTATGAATGATATGATAAGATTCTGCCAATGATTTTATAATGAATGATATTTAATTAATTCTAAGCAAATCAAAACACGCAATCATGATTAATTTAAATGATTTTTTTTAAATCTACACTGGTGGACAAAATTAAGAGATGGAAAGAATTTTCGCACATGCAAGATAACCGCACACCGCTCCATGTGTTTGACAATGGTTCCGTGCATACCCAGAGGTACAGGCAGGAGGTCCTAGAGCCCTATGTGCGTCTTTTCAGGGGCGCTGTTGGTCCCGAGTTCATTTTTATGGACGACAATGCGCGACCACATAGGGCTCTCATGGTTGATGAGTATCTGGAAAGCGGATATTCAACGAATGGATTGGCCAGCCAAATATCCTGACCTGAATCCTATTGAACATGCTTGGAATGCTCTTGGGAGAGCTATTGCGTTGTGCCAACCTCCCCCCAGAACCATTCTGGAGTTAAAAATTGCTCTGGTCCTTCCACAAGTCTTCCTTAACTCCCTTGTTAACAGCATGCATACTCATTGTGCACGCTGTCTGTCTGTCAGGGGTGACCATACACCATACTGGAGGCAACACACACTGTACAAGCCTCACTTTTATTGTCATCTTTTATCCTTAAGTTCAGACTACATTGGATTTATTGGCAATAGGTCTTGCCAGTGAATGGCACTTTCATTTTTGTTTTGCATACTTTATTATCATGGAATAAGCTATATCAAAACCAAATTTCATTTATTTATATTCAGTATTTTCTGAGATATTTGGGAAAATGTCTTCCATCTCTTAATTTTGTCCACTAGTGTATTATTATTCAATTATTATCCATTTATGATCCGTTTTTTTTTCCAACATATCACTCATATCTTAAAACTTGACAGAATGTTTGTAAGTATTATAAATTGTTTCAACACTTTCAATTTTTCCTAAAAGTATTTAATGCAAATGACTGCACCAGCTTGTGTTCTTATATTTTCAACGTAACATGAAAAATATGTGCAAAAATAAAACAAGATGAGAATATGGAAGGTAAAAAAACTTGGAAATTAACTCCTTACACTTTACCTTTACAAATTTCAGGAAGTCGGATAATTGTTTTGCAACAGGAAAGCTTTTCTTGATTGCTTCTAGGAATGGTGCCATATTTAATTCTGTGTAATCGACAAAAAGTGCATTATAATTACCGCGTCCAAGAAGAGCATTTTTCAAAGCCTAAAGGAATAAATTGATCATAATTAATCATTATTTAATAGTTTAAGAATTGTATTGATAAACACAAATGCAGTTATTTATTTTGCATAAGGAAAAGAACTTATTATTGTGTATATGTTTAATTTTGACAGCTGCTCCATCCAGAAGATGCACTGTAAAAAATTCATAATAAAACTACGGTAAAAAGTACCGGCTTTAGGATACCGTAAAATCCATTTCCAACGTAAGATTTTACAGAACAAAAATCTAATACACCGTAATTTTTGCAGTAATAAATACTGTAAATCGCTGTAATTAAAAAAATATTACTGCGAAAATTACTAATTTATGTAAAATCACTGTAATTAAATAATTGTTAGTGCAAAAATTACGGTATAAAATTTTACGCTTAAAATTGCTTTCACGATATAAAAAAGATTTTACGGTATAAAATAGAATTTACGAATGTTACACACGGAGTATCAGTGCTCTTTCATTGTTACTTTCGTTGAACAGCCGATCCAATTTTGCGTTTACGACTACCAATGTCCAACTGTGTAGCCTTAATTTTGACCCCAAACCAGAAGACAAGCGGTTCAAGTATTGTGGACGAATTGTGAGGACTTTTTGATGGAACTAACCTGCATTTGCCTTTACGTGGAAAGAGAAACCTCGGAAACCTACCATGGTTAACCTCTAACCCGTGATTCATATACCACTGAGGATATTTTACGTCAGCACTGTGATCCGTGCGAGTCGGATGCGGAATTCGTATTGATCAGCCATCGATGGCTAATCAAATTTCGCCTACTAGGTTGTCGAACAAACGAATACGTCTGGCAAATATACCTGTCAGGAAAAGAGCTGACGAGCAATGTACCTGTCGGAAAAAGTACATATCGAGCTAACGTACCTGTCAGGCAAACGGAGTCTAGAAATAGAGCTATCGGGCAACCGATTGTCAGGAAAATGTACCAGACCCACTACAAGTCGGAGCTGTTTTGAAAACACTGTTTTATAGCTGCACTTAGCAATACTAAACTTTGTAATCAATATTAAAACTTGGTAAGAACAAACACTTGGTTTCCTAAGCAGAACGCAGCAAACTTCGTCCATTTCGCCTTAATTGATTTTTTTAAGTCATCTATCATTTCAGAGATACCTGTTATCTTTTTAAGTCCTTGAAGAAATCATATTAAGCAATGATCAAAATAAATTATTAACTTATAATTAAAATAAACTGAGCGCTTACAGCAATCATTCCCTCTCGTAAATTAAGTTCAGTCTGATATCCATGAATGACTATTACAAGTGGGTTCTTATAGTCAAAGAGACTATTCTGGAGTAATTTAGAAGAGTTGGTTACATTAAAGGCCATGTTCGGGTTCCTTGAAGTGTAAAGATAATAATAAATATTTTCACAATCGGGCAGTTTCCCAGTTTCATAATTCACCCTTATTTCCTGAAGATTTTCCTGTAGGTGATCAGTAAAATTTTTCGGGTCACTTTTTGTCATCTGTTCTTGTGAATGTATGACTGGAAAAGAAGATATAAAAAAAGTCACACTATATTAAGCATCAGAAACAGAAAAAAACAGACAGTTCTCAAAAAGTCTGTAATATAAAAATCGCATCTTTTCAGTAAAAAGAACTAAATGTTGCTTTTAATGAAAAGAAGAAGAAAAAATTCTATGTGTTTTATTATTGCAGTTAAACCCCGCTATAATGAACCTTCAAGGGATCAAAATTTCAGTTCACTATAACCGAAAGTTCACTATATCCGTTCCGCAAACAATTTTAACTTATGGTTCCGAACTCCTTCTTTTTATTAAACATTATTTAAATAAATGACCAAGAAAATGAAATACAAAAATGACTGATAAATAATACTTAATAACAAAAAATGCATTGACTTGCATTTATTTTTTATTACTCTTCGCTTTGTGTACAAAAAAAAAAATTAGTAAAAATTTGTACATGCATCTGCCGGGGTAGGCTTTTGTTTAGGGATGGAAAAGTGAGATAAAAGGAGCAAGCAGGAAAAAATGCTTATCGCTACATTCCACTCTATTGATGGTTTTAAAAATCAGTATAAGTATTCATTTTGAAGTAGACATTTCAAAATTATTTTTAAAAAATGAAAATAAAATCAGTCGAAAACAGAAAAAAGTTCATAACATCCAACTTCCTCACTTTTTTAGTTCACTATATCCACAAAAAATAACATTAGACGTGTATAGCAAGGACCGAACATTTCGTTCACTATATCCGGGATTTCACTATAAACTGTGTGCACTATAGCGGGGTTCGACTGTATTATCATTGAACAGTGTGAATTATTGTTTTAAATCTTGTACTAGCCATCCTTGGCGACCAGCTACGTCACTTTCAGTACCTTATACAATATATAAACTTTGTACAAGGTACTGATAATGATAACCAATGGTGGTAACCAAACCGATAATGGTAACCGAATGAGCAAAACTACTGCATATAAATACTTTTAATTTAGAAAGTCAGAAATACTAATCTAATCAGGAAACGAAAAAAGTTATAAGATATGCATGTTAGAAAGACAGCACTTCATCAGGGGACACACTGCCTGCTAACACAGAGGAGCTTTTCTGTTGTTAGTGGTAATTCCAAAAACTGACAGTGAGTGCCCCGAAGCGCCATAATGGATAAACAAATAAGAAAAAGCAATCAGAAAAATTGAAATGTAACTGTAAAGAAAAATTAATGACAAACAAACGCCATTTTAAAGTACACGGAGTAAGACTAAATAATGATACGCCCACATACAAAAAAATAAATAAAGATTAAATTACAGTTAGAATGACCAAATCAAAATAATATGTAAATTCCCAAATTATTAGAAAACATTATGCCAAATCATTAGACTTAATGATTTGGCAATTTATATATAATTTATTATTTAAATGTTATTTACTTATTTTGTCTTTTCTGAATTTGTAAATCAGCTTCATTATTTAATTAGCTGTAAATAAATATTTTAATTTTTCAACCCCTCTTAATTCCTTAATTAGTTTTAAACTATTCGCGATCGCAACGCTCGAGTACGCCCTCTGGCGTGGAGGCTATTTTCAGGCTTCTTTGAAGTCACGAGTTTCGATACTTTTTTTGCCAATAAAGGCAACAATTTCGGATAGTCTTAATTTCAACTCCATCCTGGAATAAACATGAGCCACCCTAAGTTTGAGTTCGGGACACTTCGCCAGCGAAAATAGCCACAATCATTGGTATGACAGTATGCTAAATCCATACCGTAAACCGGGGCGAGTCTACCCATCCAGGGGCGAGTCTACCCATTTTAGTTTTATTTAATTTTAAATTGCAAATAAAAAAAATTTTACCGACGGAGGACTTAGTTCAGACTCTAAGGAAGATAGCGCTGTAGTAGTTTGATCCGTTTTTATTTATTTGTGTCTTTTTAACCGACCTGTTCAAACGTCTTTTGAGAGATTTGTATTGAAAATCAGCAAACTTTTAGTTGGTACTTCGTAAGTATATTATTATTATTACTATTTTCTTTTTGGTTAAGTGATAAACTTATCTAAGACTAAGATTACATTAATTTTATATGAAAAAAAAATAAAAAGAATGTGAGTTTTGCTGTTGTGAACAAAAAGCCAGAATTCTCGGGGCGAGTTCACCCATTCGTATTTAGTTTTAATAAAACATAATAATATAATTTAGAACGTTGTTTATATTAAAATTAAATCATTTTAAAATAATTTGAGTATATTATTTTAATTCTGCATTGATAAATTTATCATTAATAAGAAAATTTATAGGTTAAATATAAATGTAAATATAAAATATGTTTATTTTACCTATTTTTTCAATTTTTATATTACAAAATTAACTTTTTTTATTTAATGCAAGTTAAATAAATTATTATTTATTATTACAGATGGTTCGAAATTATATTCGCAAAACAAATGGATTTAAATGTTACAAAAAAATGCCACCTGAGATGGAAAAAGCTATCCAAAGGATAAAAGCCAAACAATAACAATATTAATTTTAATTTATTTTTATCAACAATAATCAGAAAAAAATGTTATTTTATAATGTTAATGATTATAAAAACAAAACTGTGATCAAAATGTGATAATCGATC